GCCCCCCTGCCCCGCCGTGCCCAGGGCCGCGCCGCGCAGCCGGCCCCTCGCAGCCCGGCCCTCCCTGCCGGCACCCGCTGGTCCCGGGCGCTTCCCCTCTGTGTTACTGGCGCTCGCCCTTCTCCTTTTTCCTTCGTTTTTACTTTTGCAAGGGGACCTGAGGCCTCTCGCCAGCATGGAGGACAAGTTACCGAGCGCTCTGTGACCTGAGAGATGCCTCACGGCCTCTCACGCCCCACAGGCCGCTGACACCCCTCATTAGCAGCTGGGTTTCATTTGATGACCTGACAGCTGAGGGGGATTTGACTGTATTTTTTCTTGGCCCGCGCACAGGTCCCACGCTCAGGAACCTTTGCACCCTCGTAATCGGGTGCTGCCTCTGCCTCATGGCAGTGTGGGCCCGTGTCTGAGCGAAGCCCTGCTGGGAAGGCGGGCGGCTCTTTGTCGGCTGGGTGTGCTGGAGCCCGGCCTCCCGTCCCGCGTCTGCCAGCACCGGGCAGGCCCAGCGGCGCCATGGCTGTGCGTTGGCAGGGCCGGGGGCCGGAGCGCTGCGCCCGGGCACCGGTCGGTCGCTGACACCCTGCTCCGGCTTCGCCACACTTTGGACTCGTGAATAAAATTACACTGATGCACAAGGATTTACTGGGTGATAACAGCCTGGTAGTAAACTAATCCACAGCTTGGAGGCAGGGTAGCCTTTCTCGTTGACGACAGCTTCGGAAATACCTGACAGTGGTCTCTTTTCAAGTCTACCCCAGGTGTTCAGTTTCTAGGCTCTTTGCCATACGCAGAGCATTATAAAAAATAAACTGCGTTAGGCTGCAACTAGAGACATCTCCGGGACGTGAAGGAACAAGAAAAGCCAGGCAAGAGCATCGCCTCCATCCGTTGGAGGGCAGCAGAGCATACATGAGCCCGTCCACACCGACTGCTGCCCTGACAGAGTGATCAAAACAATAATAATAAAAGCAAAAATATGCCAGACTGGCTCAGGCCATGTACTGGTGTAACCACAGGCCACGTCTTAATTAGAGTTGCAGAAAACTGTTATGCAGCCCCAGAGGCTAACATGCTCGCCAGAGGAATACAGGCTTTCTGCTTTTTGTCTGTCTTCTCCTCACAGAGAACTGTGGGGCCCTAATTCGATTGTCATGGAGAGGAAGACTGAAACAAACAAACAAAAAACAGGGACAAGAAGAAGGGCTGGAACACAAAGGCCTTGCTTCCCAATACCGAATTGTGATGCAAATTCACCCAGTTATCCAGACAGAGCCGTTGTCCCCTATGACATTCGGATAATCAATCTTCTAAATACCAGTTAGGTTTAAAAAAGTCCCAAGAGGGATACCGTCTAAAAAAGAAAAACCTCCCTTCCTTCAGATCTTTAGATTTTGTGCTGGCAAATCTCTAGCAGGTTCAGCTTTAGCCTTCGTTTTCCCTTTCCCTGTTCTATTTTGATCTGCGAAGGTAAGCCAAATTCTGGCTCTTGGTGCAGCTGCTCTGAACAACCCTGTCTTGATTTTTCCATTTCGTTAATCTTCACCTCATGAAGCTGAGCTAAAGAGCTTCCTCCCTTTTTTATAACCACGCGATGTATTCCGCTGTTCAGCCTGGACTTCTGACAACATCAGACTTGGTCACCACTGAAAATGTAGCAGTAGGTTTCACTGTATCTTTTAGCACAATTTGGTTTTTCTTGTAACAAGAATTAAAATGTGAGATGGGGCTACAACAGCAACAGCAAGGGCTCCTCTCTTTGGTGGGCAGGCACAGTTAGATAAATAAACAGATAGACTTAGGCAATTTTCCAATGATCTCTACGCTGAGGAGGCCTAAAAGACAGATTTATTTCCATAAATTCTGCATGGTAGATGAAATAAAGTATAACTCCCTGTGTAATGGTCCTTTGTACAGGGTCCTTTTGTTAGGGCACAACATTCTTTTATGTATACCATAAAACGAAGTGTCATGGACAGATCTTGGAGTAAAGGGAAAGGATCCCAGTGACTTCATTGGAATATGGACCTCAATAATGCCATGATTGCATCTTCTGAGTTGTTGTCCTAATTTCAGAAGCCGAAGCCAACTGTAGGGGACTTAACCCAAGCCTTCTGAAGTCAGTATCAATTTTTGCATTGTTTTCTGTGGCTTACACCTTGGATGAGCTCTGTTTTCAACCCATTTTGTTGCCTGGCAGCCCCAGCACAGAGGTCGCTTCCATCCTGATCCACAATGAAATGATTCCTGCCATGAAGGTTTCAATCTAGATTTCTGGAATTAGCAAGACTGCCAGGCACAGCAGCAGCATCTTCCTCTGTATGAATTTACTCTTCTTTCTTATTTGTTGTCGTGGTTGTATCCCATCTCCTTACAGTTATTCAGCCCTGCTTCATCTATTGCTTGAGATGTAGTAGGCACGAGGAACCATTCGGTAGGCAATTGCAAATTCCCAATTATCATCTGTGGAAGTGAGACTCTGTGCACTGTGAAATGAAAAAGTCACAGACCTGTTACAGTAGCCATTGCGTTAGAGGCTGCAGTAGACCATTGCATCCCATCAAACAGGCTGATATGTTTGTAAGGCATAGTGCCCTTTCAGCAATCACATATACCATGAAATAGTGATGTTTTAAACATGCCCACTATCACAGCCATTGGTGACACCTAGAAGGTAGAGCCTAGCTAAGATCCTATTCAGCCTCTCCTTGGAACGATGCCTATTCTCAGCATTTAATAGTTTAAAACATACAGGGATACAGGAAGACATTTTTCTTGAAAATTATGTTTTTGTCATTATTAATATTGTTTTATTAAGGTTGGCAACATTAACATGAACATTTTTAGCTCACTTGCCAAGCTGCTACTTCATCCCAACCAGACCCAAGGCAAACACAGGTAAAACAGGTGGAAGTAATGGAAGACGCTCCTGTTCATGGTCACCTTCTTGATGATGTCGTTAGCATAGTTCCTTGTTTAAGCAGGAGGGAGAGGAAAGACTTTATGGCCTGTGGAATTTGTAGAGGAAAAGACAGTCCAATGGTGAAAATGCTGATAAGAAACAAACCACAGCTCCCTCATGGTCTGCATAGGCAAAAGTCACAAATATTGGTGGTTGGTCCTCTCTACAATTTCATCCATGAAAGCTCTCATACCAGTTTGTCTGGAGAATAAGAGAATATTATAACTAAGCATCCGATTCATACTGAAGTTTTTGCCAGAATTCTCTTTTGCAGTGTCATGATTTTGGTCACATCACTCAAACACCGTGGTCAGAATATTCAAGTAAACTAGTCATTTTTGAGAAACTTTATGAAAGGTTTCATTTTCAGAGAGTGCCTACCATGCCCTCTTTGAAAATCAGGCTACTGAGGAGTTTCTCTGTTTCTACATGGGTACACATTGCAAAGTCCAGGCAAGGACGGGCACAGTACACCCTGACACAGAGTAATTACCCGTACTGAAATTTGTTTGGGACAGTGCCATTACACATCTTCTTTTCTGAAAGCCTCAGGGCATCTGTAGCTATTGCAGTCAAGAGAAATTAATCCATGGGAGAATGAAGTGGGGTTTTCTGACTCACATATCATCCATGGAACAACTAATTAAGCCTGAGTCATCGAGCCTTTACCTGAGAAGGTACAAAGAAAATGAGAACAATTGCACTGTAAGTGCGTCACGCAGTCCTCGATTTGGGCCAGGATATTAAATTTCAGATCACAGCTGTGTCTGTGATGCTAGCACCGGGCAGAAATGTTTTGTTTCATTTTTACATTTAGACTGGGAAAATCTGATTTGGAATTGTTGGAAAACAAAAAGCCCAGGAACTTATAATATATTTTTAAAAGCTAAACTCCAAATAGAATCACGTTTTAAGATTTATTTGATGTGCAAAGACCAAAAGAATATAGGTTGTTGGATCACTGGCTGCCTTGGAACAAATCTTTACCAAGGGGCAGAGAGGTGTATATGTTCACCATGGCTTTTTTAGGCAAAATGTATGGATTTAGACTTTACCTTCTACGTGTCATAATGGTATGGCACATCCTTCAGTTAAAAGAGCTGTAAGAATGCACAGTTAAGTTCTCCGATGGAGCCAGATAATCTGAAACAGTAACAGACTTCTCACAGGTACACCTCACTCCCAAGAGAAAGACGGTCTAAGGTGGAGGATTTTCTTTGGCTTTTCTTCTTCCATGTCAATTTTTGTGAAAGAGAACTGAAAAGGCAGAGAAGTAGTAAAAGAGGTGCAAGAGAAAATAGCGGTAGAGGTAGAAAAAGACAGAAAGGTAGAAATGCAAGGCGAGCACTTGAAGCGTAACGTTGAAGAGAGCAAAGCAAAAAGGAAAACAGGCTGAAGAGTGAGAGGAAAGGCATGTAAAGAACTGAACAAAGGCATTCCCACTTATCCGATTCCTGTTTTATTCAAGTAAATAGGACTTTGTCTTTTCTGTGAATTACAAGCACTGCATCCACTTCATTAACTTTAAAATAATCTACAGCCTTTTTTGATGAAAAAATTTGGATTAAAAATGTTAACTTTTATAAATCCTCCATCTTCTTATACTAATGTCTCATTATGACACTAATAACATGCCTTTAAGATATCCAGGACCATTTACAAGCTGCTTTACAATGCAGCTTGCTTGCAGAAGAAATTAGCTGTATACTGTCTGGATAGACATCAAGTTTAACTTGATTCATTTATACATGTACCTGTTCTGACATGAAACAGTCCCACAGAGCAATGGTTTTTAGGAATTTTAGCCTGACAGCAACTTAACCCTAAATGAAAAGCAAACTTTGCTACTGTTCAGTCTACTGTCTCCATCTTCCGACTACATCTCAGCAGTGGATTCTGGCATAATCCAAAACTGCCATTAGAATAACATATCTTTTTAAGAATCGAATCTTGCTTACACTAAGGCAAACACCGACAAGTGGTGGAAGAGCACCATCTGGTGACCTGAGGCACATCACTATATTCTGCTGCCATCAGAAAATATATTCATGGCATACAGCCTGTATTTTGGAAAGCCTGTGTCAATGTGTTTAATACGTTTTAACCCATTATTCAATTATGCATAAGACGTAAAAGAGTGAACTTCTGAAAACAAATCTGAGCTGACACTGACCCTATCTCTACTGTCCCTTAAATCACTGAGACGTTCTTGTAATTTGAATCAAACATTTTCTGCATTGTTCTGAGCCAGTTTTTTAGGAGGCTTTTGAGCAGTTTTTATGGGCACTATGAAATGCAGTCCCAAGTTTTATTGCAGTGGACATTTCAAGGTTTTTCTGTGTGTGATCCAAGTATTTTCTTACAGTGTTCAAGAAACTTGGCTTAGCTGTCTTTTCAAAGATTTTTCCACAGAAGCAATTGTTAAGAAAAATTACTTACCTTTTACCATTCCAGCTATTCAGAGGTAAGGAAAAAGGATGGATCTTAACCTGACTATTACTTGCAAATCATAGCGAATTTCAGCACAAATTGAACCTGACTATGCTAATAAATAAA